TACAACAACTGAATACGACTTTAAATGATTGTATTACAGCTTTAGGAATTTTAATTAAATTTCAATTGATTCTAACGGGATTTTTATTCGATTTTAATTGATTTTAAGAGGAATTTTGATTAAATTTCAATTGATTCTAACGGGATTTTAATTCGATTCAAATTGATTTTAAAAGGAATTTTGATTAAATTCCAATTGATTCTAACGGGATTTTAATTCGATTTTAATTGATTTTAAAAGGATTTTAAAGGCGGCCCTACTAAATCCTTTCAATAAATGTGCACCCCTAATAATACATAATTTCTGACCCCCCGGATTATTTATTATTAGGGGGGGGGGGTGGGGACGTCGTTCATTATTAGGGGAAGCGATTATTATGGGTAGCTACGTTCCTTCCTAAACTGTTCCAAAAACAGGCATCCCGCATGAAGAAATACATGGGGAGATCTAGGAAGGCTGTAGCGAACAGACAAAATAAAACGGGATACGCTCTAATGGTAAGACTTCGGCATTAAATCAACTTCCAGTCCATACTGCCTAGGTCCAGGGTTTATCATGCAAAGAGCGGCATGAGCTCTCGAAACTCAGAACAGGGTCAGACTACAAGAGCACCTGAGTCAAATAAAGTATCCTAAGCCCTTTACGGCCCTACAAGCCAGCATGAGAACTGCTATCAGCTGGGATAAGCCCTTCAGCCGTGCAACCTTCTGACTACCAGACTTGCTGCTGGCCATACAACTATTTGTCAAAAGTATGGACCTTTGCCTTGGATTTGGGATACCCGAATGGAAAGAATCGGATTACAGGAGGATCCAATCCTGCGAGCCCTGAGCCGCTGAAATGATGAGATGCGAGCGGCATGGAGCAGCCAAAGGACAGTGAGTACATCCCAGAATGTTCGAACACGCCCTTGCAAGGGAAGGGTGAGAATGACTCTGTGGGGCAGATTTCGTGCTCAAGTGAAGGTTTAAACAATGCATGCCTCCCGCGCAGTCATTTTACACTGCGACAGCCCAGAAAATCATGTATTCTAGTTTGCAGGGCTTTTTTCATGCGAGAGAACCAGGGAAGCTTCACAAAGGTTCTTCTAGAACGAAAGGGACACGATCCTGGCACAAGCGCAAAGTCTAAATGACTTCGGGAACCTGCGCGCAGCGTACCTGAAGCACAGCAGAACTCTCAAGGAGTACCATCACCAGCTCTTGCTTCCAGCTGGCAGCAGTGACAGGACAGAATCCAGACTACACTTTCCACATTTTGCAGCTGTCGAGCATGTGAAGGCGGATCTGTCTTAAGTCAGCACGGTGAAGAAGTCTGTTTATTGAGAAACTTCGCTGTTGGACCCCTACCTCAGGCGGATTCGCCTCCTGGATGTAGGAGGCGAACCTTTTCCTCGATGACCTCGCTGGCATACGGCGTAGTAGAGATCTCCTCCACACCTGCAGCAAAACACTAAAACAAACAGCGTGATCAGGATGTTCAAATTGCAACGAAACAACAGAAAGCATGGTTATCATAGTGAGGGTGCTGATGGTGACTATGACAAAAAAGCGACAATCACAGGCTGTTTGCATTCCCTTCTTTTTTGCAGCAATGTCTCACCTACAGCCCGCTTTGCATGCCAGCCGTTCATCTAGAAAGTCTAGTAGGCCTTCCTTCGTGCAGTCTGGACTCTAGCTACTGACGGGAATGGAAGCATGACTGCTGCAGATAAGTCAAGTGCGCTGGCTTTAGAACCCAGAAAACTGTAACCTGCAAGCCTAACACCAAAAATCCACAAAACCCTAATTCCTCAGGCTATTACCCCCAAACCCATCGATGAAGTGACCATCCCCACCCCTCAGCTCTGGTGCCAAGCATCTGAACATGGTGGATTTCTTCGCTAACGCCTTTGGGACGCTTTTTATGCCCCGTTTCAACCTGGGATCTTCAGGAGGCAAATCCCACAAGGCTTTCAGCTAGGCCGCCTAAAAAGCATGCTTTGAAGGGAAGAACCCTGGTACTTAGATTGCAATAAAGGTGTTGCTGATAGGCTTGTCATCGAATCTTAGCCCAAGCAAGGTTGTGGGCTGTATTTTGGGCATCTGATGGGTTGGGTGAATGAGGCTTTGCTTCAATTTTCCCTTCAGCATACTAGCACCGCTCGAAGGAGCTCTAGTGTCTGCGAAACTCACTTGAAAAGATGTCAGCCCATTCACTATTTACCTAAAAGCTGGTTGCGCTAGCATGCGCTAGGATCTTGATCCACGGGGCCGCCGACTGTCTATCGAAGATGGTGACAAAGCAAAGAATTGGACTCGTGGCGGGATTCTGAAAGTCGTGAGAGACCTTTGTTAGATTCCGTGAACGAGGTTCCTGGTGATCTGGCAGTATGTTAGCAAGACCCGACTTGAAAACCCTTAAGAAGGTCCATGCAGCCAAGTGCTCCGCGGCACTAGGTCCTGACCAAGGCTTGTTGGGCTCTTGGGCAGATTTCGAGCTTGAATTTGTAGAGCGAAGAATTAGGGGCCCTTCATCGAGTCAACCTGTATTGTGAAGTATCCCTATGTAACCAACACCTATCCCCTTTATACCCACAGGGGCCACATGATTCTGGCAAGCACCCGATCGATGAGCAAGCCCCATACAGTAGCACTGTGGAAGCATTGACGCCCCGCTATCATTGCGTTTGCAATATGTGAAACTTCGTAAGCCCGTAAGCCCACCTCAAAAGGTATTCCAAAGTTTGTTACACTTGGTGGCTTGTCTGAACACCTGGCCACGTGCGTTACGGGACGAGCTAATGCTGAGGAAAAACACCCATCACATCCCATCACACATGAATTCCCAGCCCTAGAGTTGCTGGAAGAAACATTTTCCACGAAGCTAGGCCTCCAAGATACTCCAAGCGCCTACCTCTTTCGCTCTTTGCCGGGTTGACGAAAAAAGGGTGAAAGTCTAGGCAGGCTTTGGCGCCCTCTCTCTCTCTCTCCCTCTTTCTTTCCTCTTGTCCCTCCAAAATGCGTACAAAAGGTTGCGAAAACGACTTCACATGGAGGGCCTGGACCTCAGCTCCATATAACCACCTGCAAAAGGCCAAGTAATCTTGTTTTGAACCTCATTCAGTCCCGAGGGGCGGCACGGGACGGGGTAATTTATCCATGCAACTCCCTGTCCCAGCCTCCGCACAGAGCTCTCCAGACCCCTTGCTAGCCTGCGGGACAGATCAGGACTTCGGACTGCGAGGAGGCTGCTAGGTTTGTGATGGTTTGTGATTAATGTAAGTTGGTCAGGAGCAGGAGTGCAAGGAATGACAGCATGTTCGACCTTGCAAGTATTCACAATACCCATGGTGTCAAGGTAAACTCCTGGCAGCACTTTATTCTGGCTTCCTCCCGAGCCCGAGGGAATACGGAAGATGTATTCAACCAGCCCCACGCCCAGCCTCCCCGCGCGTCAGCAACGGGTGCTGGAAGCCCACAGACGTGCCCGATTTATCCCGCGTGGGTGAGTCCATAAAAGTCGGGTGATCCAACGGCGGCGATGGCCTGAAAGCTTTGCGCTTATCTCACTTATCTCTTGCTAAAGGGACAATTCCTCCTTATCGACCCTAGTGTCCTTCACGTCACATAAAGCTTCTAGGCAAAGTAGAGTTCTGCTGCTGACTATGATCGAGTTGTCTGAAACCAAAAAACATTCCCCAACTGCAAGGAACTGGGACTACAACGCGCATCACTAGATCAGAACCCGATATACCAGTAAGGACCCAGAATATACAGTATCAGCTTGGGGAAATCCCCACCCTCCCAGTACCCCTCCCTCTCTCTCTCTCTCTCTTCCTCTCTCTTCCTCTCTCTCGCTCTCGCGCGACTACACATACGTACATAGATGTTCCTGCAAAGAAGACTGATTTCCAAGGGAGTATTTGCTTGAGGCGGTTAATGTTTTCCAGGCTCTCAGCAAAACAAACATCCCCCAACTTTTCGGGCCAGGATATTCCTGTTCGATTGGGTGATATGCGGGCTGACCATTGGTCTTCCAGCCGCTTTATAGGGGTAGGAGCAACTTGCCCTTTAGACAATTTCTACATGTACGTTCGCCACAAAGCTATGATAAAAATCCTACCTCCAAATGCGTCCTAGGATTTGGAATAACCTCGCCATGAGAATATTCACAACAAGCAAAACTAGACTTATGCTGCAACATAGATGTGCCTGATGGCAAGTTGGCCAGTTTATGACACAATTGGGCCCAACAGATTCTAGCTGACTTGAACAGCGGGTTGGTCCAGTAGCAACTACCGGGCCCGGGTAGGGCAGCCCGGGTAGGGGAGAAAAAAAAAGCACACAAACCACACTCATCAAAAAACAGAATACATCAGAAAACCCCGAGCGCTTAACCATGACCCCTACAGTATGTCCCTATGAACCCAACAGCCTCGCACAATTCGGACCCTCGCAGGGATCGTGGGGGTCCGACAGCCGATGAA